ATTTTCACTCTTCATGATATCCTCGATGTTGTTAAGTTGTCGAATATTGGATGTTCCTTCTATGGATATCAATCTATTGTCATCATTTTGCTTTAAATTCCTTTTAATGTCTTGATGCCAGCCAGTCTCTCCATTTGGAAAGAGTAAAGGATATTGGAGTGAATCATAACAACTAAAATAATGTTGTATTCTGTGTCATTTTCCAGAATGTGCATGCAACACAATGTCTCTTTTAAATGGAATGTTATTATCGTTTCCTTCAATCCAAATAGCAGCCTTCAATCCAAATAGCAGCTACTTGATCCATTCCAGGTAAGTTATAGACACGTTGATCAACTTGTACATCCATAGCAAGATGTATCTGAGCATCTTCAATCGACGGGAGATCTTTTAGGCTTCTAAAAAACTGGCCATAGGGATTGTCTTTTAAAATTTCTACCAATTTTTCCGTAAGACGTTCATTCAACCCAACATCTTTTAATATTTCCATGCGATTTTTAATTTCATTCATGGTATCATAAAAATATAGTTGGAAGAATATTGGCTTCTCTTCTGGTAATAAATTTGGTAGGTCATGATATATTTCTCATTGTACTCTAAATGTGTAAACTCCTTTATTCGAAGACGCTAGATCTCTATCTAAATTTACCACAAACGATGTGAAAGAGAAAATACTATTATAAGCTCGAACATTCTTCCTGAATAAAATCCCTTGTTCACATTGTGATGTAAATAAATAATAAAGGTGGTTAGGTATTGCAATTTCAGTAACGTACACCTACATAATAAAAAGAAATTTATAATTAAAAATTGTGGCTATGAAATACTATATTTAACCAAGTATTTTGGATATAGAAACTCGTACTTGACCATTGAAGCAACAAAATGTTGGAGTCTCGTGCTCAAATTTTATTGCATTACAAAATGTACATGTTCGTAACTTTTTAAGCTCATGTATAGGAAAATGAAATGGTTGTTCTAGAACTTCTGATTCTGTTGAACAATATAAGATGTAATTCAATTAATACATTTAAATAACTTCAATGAATTTATTATTTAAATATATTAGTTTTGGAATCTAATGTTAACTACATATTACCTTCGATCTCACTGGTTATTTTTTGAGTGACTATACTAAAATAATAATTATTTTAGTAAGATGTTTGTTACTTTCTTTGTGCAGTCGTTTTTTCCTTGATTCTATTAACAATTCAATTGCCATTCTTTTTTCTTCCTGGGAAAGTGTAGAGTATCGTTTCCTTTTTGTATTATCATCCATACCGTTAAAAGATAGTGGGACACATAATCGAACTAAGGAGAGATAATTATAAATTAATTGACAAAAACAATATATATATTAAATAGAAATCACAGTCAAAGGCATGCGATTTCTATCCCAATACGTGCACATTGAAGTCGAAGTCAAGGGCTACGACTTCCACAAAATTGCGGCCAATGACCGTGATTTCGGTTTAAATTGTAATCAATGGCTACGATTTCAATACCCTGCTTTTGAAAATACTTTCAAACCTATATTATTTGAGTCTTTTTTTTAAAACATTATTTAAAAAAATCCCCGGGCAAAATGAAAAGTTAAAAGTTGTTTATAAATTTTTATGCCTTTGGAAGAAAGGTTTGATCAGGTAGAATGTTCCCCATGTGAGTATCAAATTGGAGGGCGTTATAATTGATATTAAAACGAAGTTGTTATTGTAGACTGACCTAATAATTAGGTCATTTAGTATTGAGCATTTGAGGGGCGGACTCCTTACATATGATATTCTTAAAGTATTTTGCTGATTTGAAATTATTTTGATATATTTTATAAATCTTTAACTACTGTATTAAGACATTTTTCTTTCCATCTTCATTTGTGCGTGTGTGTTCCATTCTCAAACCGGAAATTCCTTCATATAGTTTTCTTTAAGCATTTTTTCTGATTTTTAATTCTTTTGATATGCTTTATAATTGTTTATCTAATATATTCAGGTATTTAGATATTTTGTGTGTGTGCGTGCTTAGGTACTTAGATATTTTGGAATTCCTTACCTATAGTCTTCTTTAAGCATTTTGCTGATTCTAAATTCTTTTGATACATGCGTGCTTGCTTACTTAAATACTTAGGTATTTTGTGTGTGTACTTAGGTATTTTATGTGTGTGCGTGCTTCCTTAGGTACTTAGGTATTTTGTTTGTGTGCGTGCTTAGATGTGTGTAGGTATTTTGTGTGTGTGTGTGCATGCCTAGGTACTTAGGTATTGCGTGCATGTGTGCTTCAATGTGTGTGCGCGCACGTGTGCGTGCTTGGATGTGGATGTGTGTGCACGTGCGTGCTTGCTTAGGTAGGTAGATATTTTGTGTGTATTTAAGTACTTAGGTATTTTGTGTGCGTGCTTGCTTACGTGTGTAAGTATTTTGTCTGTGTGTGCGCGTGCATGCTTAGGTACTTAGGTATTTTGTGTGTGTACTTAGATACGTAAGTACCACTAAAACACACGTAAGCACCACTAAAACACATGTAAGCACCACTAAAACACGAACAACTAACATTATTTATACAAACTAACTCAGTTAAATAATAAAACACCACTAAATCGTAGCTGGAAGTTGGAGAAGCTTTAACCACAAGTTTAAAATGATGTCACTCTACTTAGATTATCACCATCAAACGATGACCCTTTAGAGTACCTGTTTTAACTGTCCCTAATCCTCGTTTTTATCCATAAGCCATTAAGACCTATCATATTTTGATTTTACATTGATGAGAAGATTATGAGTTTCTCCTAAAATTTTTCTAATTTCTTAATATTTTATGGTCATTGATGAAGAAGCTATTGGGGTTGCAAGTGTGCAAACAAAGTCCCACATTGGTTAGGAAAGAGAGTGATCCATGGTGTACAAGAGATGACAATTATCTCCATTGGTTTTAGGCCTTTTGGGTGAAACCAAAAGTAAAGATGTGACGGTTATGGCCACAACAAAAATTATCATACCATTGTAGATGCTTGGAGGTACAAGGGTACCATTGTCCTTAACAAGTGGTATGAGAGCTAGTAGATGGCTCTCAAACTCAAACAAAATTTTCTCAAGGTGGAGAGCCAAAGACATGCTATGTGCTCGGATGACGAGCAAGACATATTCTATCAAGTCGAGATAGACTGATGAGATATTGTAGTCCAGTAGACTGATAAGAAGAATGAGTTATCTTTGTTCGAGGGGAGGAGATTAAAGGTGCAATAGAACGACGCTTGATGTTCCCACAATGTGCTTTTGCGTAGCAAGTGACCTATCTAGAAGTGCTAGATATAATTAGGCTCTCGTTGTCAGCCGAGAGTAGATGAGTGCATTACTATTTG